CAAGATATTAATGAAATTTACCATTGCAAAGTTGTGAGACTCGATTGAAATAAATTGTTGACTTTAATTTATATTTTAATTTAGAATTGTGCTATGTGTACACAATCATTTACACTCCCTCATATGAAGGGGCCCACACATAATAAAATATGTGTGGGCTCCGCTCCATGTTAGAGTGTGTAAAAGATTGTATACACCACAGGGTGTACACATTACATTATCCTTTAATTTATACCAAATATGGGCTTAGTGTCAAATTGGTTACTTCAATTTGATTCAGTGTGACACTGATTATGAAATTGGGTAGTTATGAAAAAATAAAATCAAATTGGGTAGTTAATATGACATTAAATATAAAGTTGGGTGACTATAATAAAACAAAATCAAATTGATTAGGCAATGTGATATTAAGTATAAAGTTGGATGGTTATTTATGAATTTTATTTTATTTTATTTTTTTAAAAGTAGGAATATAATTATAATTATAATTATAATTATAATTAATTTTTTCTTTTTGCTTATTTAAAAGACGTGATATATTTTTCATTTTAAAAGATTTTACTGAAAAAAATAGAGGAAAATATTATTTTGCAAAGAGAAGGGAGGGATTTTATGTCAAAATGAAAAGATAAAAGAGTATTTCACCGTAGAGGTAATAGATAGGGGTGTTTTGTGCCAATAAAAATAACGCAGGCCTGCAGATATTTTCTTCTCTCTCCTCCTTTTCTCAACGGCTACGGTTAGTAATATATGCATATATAATATATTTGTACGTTCATGGTAGGTGCTTCAGCAGATATTTTCTCCTCTCTCTTCGCCCTGGATGTTCAATCTCGACTAAATTCTGTACGAGTTTCTCACGATCAACGTTGTTTATGTTTATTGACGTCGTTCTGTATTTCTTGCTCTGATTTCATGAGAGACTTGGAAATAGTCAACTGATGTGTAATTTACATACATGCATTACAGTATTGTGTTCTGGGCAAGTTCTTCAAATAGGTAAAAACGTATATCTGGGTTTTTGTTAGAAATTTTTAATTTTCTGAATGGTTATGTACGTTTTGGACGTGCTTTCAGGTTTTATATCTGCTTACTTCTTGATAACTGTTGATCAATCGAGAATCTGAGAGAGATTAAAATTGTTGAAGCCATAATACATCTTTAAAATGTGAAGACAGGTAAAATCGTATTCTTGGATTTTAAAATTTTCTTGTGGTTAGCTTTGGCACTTGTCCAAACGTTTGAATTTATGGAATTTGTATGGCTGTGCATCTATGTGTCTATTGATATTCACACCTTGTTATCTTTTAAGTTTAAGTTTCCAACTCCATCAAGCACCATTAGCTGTAGAATTGGTGAAGCAAACTGGTTCACAAATTGAGAACGAAGCACATACATAGATTTCATAATTATTTTAAGGGAATGGCTTGTGGAAGTATTAGTCATCTACAAAAGGAGATTTCTCAAATATCTGGATAGTTTTTAAAAGCAATTTTCATTTTTTTCTTAACAAATATAATAAAGAGCATAAGAGATGAACATTATAGGATAAGCAAGAAACCGTGAAATGTTGGTGATTACATTATGATTTAAGGCACCCCGGTGAGAAATTTAATTTAGGGTTTAGGATCATTGCTTCCATTTTATGCCATGAAGATATATTTTAGTTTGCTACTGTGTGCCTTTGAAGAATTGTTTGTTTGACAGCAAAAATCAATGCAGGCAATGTATTTATACATGTAGATAGTTATTTCTTTATTAAAATGTGTAATGAGCACCTGCTGTTTTGAATTAATCAAATTGAGCTTTATTTAGCCACTTGCAAACTGTTAATCCATTGGTTCAAGTCTTACCCTATCCTTGACAAAGATAGAGATTCCCATAGGAAGGCGCTTTGAGTTAGCAAGGTGCAACTCTACTTCTTTTGAAACTTCGCCAGGGTATTGAGAGGGCTAGATAGGTGCAGAGCAATGACACTTATCATAGGATTACATATTGCTGATCGCTTAAAGGTGACTTCAATGATGTTGCCTTTCCTAATAAAGGATGGGAGTAGCTATTTTCATTCATGGTTCTTGTATATGTATCCATTTAAAAAAAAAAAATCTATTACATTTTGAACTTTATGTAAATTTACTGCAAGAATAAAACCAAATAAAATCTATCACTCTAAATTAATTCACTAATATTTATCCCCATTAAATGCTTTTTGACCTTTATTTTCTTCTAGACTTTACATTTAACTAAAATCCCGATATTCATAAAACATTTTATTCAACTAAAGCCAAAACAAACAATGAAAGACACACCGTTAGAGAAAATGTTAGAAGAGATTTTTGGTTCAGTTGATGTTGGGGGATTACTTAATTGCTTTTATTTTCCTATGAAGACAAAGTAGGTTTACCAAAGAACTTTACAAAGTTTAACTATATATCCACCAAAATCGAATCTATTGGGTTAAGGATGTGTAGTCTTCACGGGATGCTTGGAACTTTGCAGTTCTTCCATATGTGTTGGTTTATGTTGCAAACAAGATAGTATCGCATCTCTACCATTAGAAAGTTGTTAGTTATATATTTAAAAATATGGAAAGGAGCGATATTGGTATTTTAATTTTCTTTGAGATTTTTAAATCTCATTGTTATGAGAATAGTGGATGAAAATAGAGGCCTCCTGAAAGATTTACAATTTTAATATATTGCAACTTTAACCAAGCAAGGGGGTAATCTTGAAGCAATTATGGTTAAGGTGATGGATTATGGTTTAATTGAAGTGCAATTATATGGTTACTCAAGTCGAATGTAACAATTTGACAACGAATAGTTAAAAAACAGAGAAAAGAGAGAAAGAATACTTCAAGAAAGAATTTGAGGTAAGAAATATAATCGTCTGTAAACAAAAATCTAAGCCTCTTTATGTAGAAAAATGTCTTTCAATCTAAACATACTTGTAAAAGAAAACATTTAAATAATAACAAACTCTTAGCATATTAACTACTAAAATCTAGATTAACTCAAATTCTATTTTTTCTAGTCTTTTGCCTTGAGTAGACATATAGCTATTTCCTTGTGCAATGGTCATCAGCTTGATAAGTTTGACAGTTTTCTAATGATGATTTATGGTTTTTAGGGTCGGTTTTCCTTGTCATCATGAGATTTTTTCAATAAAATAATAATTTACTTTTATAAATTTTAATGAGTTAGTGCGTATTGATCCAACTAATAGTAGTGTAGTGAGAGTTGTTGGGGGACGGGATAGTATTGATGAAATTTAAAATCTAAAGACTAAAGTGTGAACAATGAACTATTAGGCGTTGTTTTGAAATTAATATGAATGGCGTTTAGTTAGATGATAAAAATTTAATTTCTAAATTCCATCGTATATTCCAATAAAAATTTCATTATTCCATGAAAGCTAGTTCTTAACTGAACATTAATATATGCAGGTTCATCTTGGTTCCTCCACTAAAATGCAAAACATTTTTTTAAAGGGCTTTATTGGTTCCGAGTCCGAAAGTTTAGTGTAATGACTTGGCATCTACTATGATATAACGACTTAGGCATAGAGGCCGAGTCGTTACAAACTTAATGAGAGATTTAAGTTGAATCCTAGTACCAATTGGGCTTAATTGGTACTAGGATTCAACTTAAGTCTTTCATTAAGTAGAGGTCTTGGGTTCGAATCTTGAAGGACGCGATAGAAAGCCGTGAGAGGATAAATGGGCATAAGTTTACTCAAAGCGGACAGTATGTATGATATAATGGATTGGGTATAGAGGTTGGGTCGTTACATTTAGCTTCCATTTGGCAAAATTTATAAATGGTCAAACTTTATTTTCAAGAACACATTCCTATAAACTACAATTACTATCCCCTTATTTGCGTCTTATTTCTATCTTCTTACATATTAAACCATATGTGAGGTTGAAATTCTAGGTGGTGACAATTTTTTGATTTTATGGATGGAGAGCATAACTTGTGAAGAGAATGAACAAGAAGCATGTCAATTTTGAGAAAGGGCCATGTTTTTAGCTTCTTTACGGTCCTATGAGAATTTAAAGTTTTTTACTTTCCTTTAATTATTGTAGGTTATGAAGATGTAATGTTCCTCTAATTAGTTCTCTCTTTATCAAAGCAGGGTTCCTCATCCTTTATAGAATACTATTCCTCTATATTCACAGAACTTGTATAAAAAATATAGCCATTTGTTTAATATTTTTAATATTTGGGTTACAAGGTATGTCTATATTTTCAAAATCCGACAAGTCGGTTTGATTGGAGAAATCGAGAATTGGCTAAAATTCGGTTCAATTATAGCTTAAAACCTACATACTTATATACCGAAAAAAATCGCCTTTCCTACCTTGAACTCCGAGACCGATTTAATGAGTGCTTTTGTGGAGTATTAACTTATTTTAGTCAAATTTCGTTGTATTTTTGTTCAATTAATTTTGACAACCGGTACGACTCAGTTCAACTTTTAGACAGGTAGGAATTCTATTAGCCTTCCCCCTCCCAGGATCCTGGCCTCTAGCTGAGGAAGTGGTGTTGAGCTGCACCGTATCAGCTATCGACAGCGACGATCANCCCAGCAGACCCACCGCCATTGGGAATCCAATCCCTTCGAGAGGTCTGCGTCTGGTCCTTTTAACAGGCAGGAATTCTATTAGCCTTCCCACTCCCATGATCCTGGACTCTAGACTCTAGCTGAGGAAGTGGTGTACCCTTGATCCTTTACCTTTTTGGGTTAATGTTCGGGTCTGCTTTGAACAAATAGTTAAATATTACAAGATATACTTTTTTTTATATTTATTTCATCGTAAGAAATGGAATAGTATATCATTACTTGTATCATTGTATATTGTGCAATATATTTCTTTAATACATACATTTTTAGTGCTGCTACCTCTCCTAATGCAGCTGAAGCCAGTTGGAGTACTCAATGCTATAATATTTATATATAATATTATAAATATCAAACAAGGATCTCTTATAGAGAATTTATCCCAACTTCATCATAATTGTTGGCGTATTCTTCCTCTTAGTTTGTGGTTGGCTTAACTGGAGATTGATGGGGCTGTGCAACTCATATTCATTGTTGATTCCATTGCTAATGTGGGAACCCCTGCTTGCTTCATCAATATTCTCTGGGCTGTAAACCTGGATCAAAACTCGTGTTAAGCTCAACTGGAAAAGTTTTCACCTACCTGGCATAAATACAGTACTTTTCAGGGTGATGGTTGGTGTACCTTTCTTCTCAATTCTGCATTCTCTTGACAAACAAGGTCTACCTTCTTATACAGTTCTATGTTCTCTTGATGCATGAGACTCCTCTGTAATGAAATAAAAAAATTCATTAAATCTATGCTTGGATATAATAAAAATGTGAAAATCTAACTGAATTTGGAAGTGGACCTTCTGGTTTAACTCTTTGATTTCATCAGTCATGATCTGTTCCTGTTAGAAACAATAAATTCTCAAAACTTCAATTTACATGATAATGGCAGCTGTAGATAAAAATTAAAGTTACTCTCGTAGACAGAAAAAGCTCTAACCTTTCTCGTGCGGATGCCTTTCAAGCTCATTTCCAGTTGATTTTCCAGGTTTTGTAGGTCTTTGAGGCTCAATCCAGAAAGTTCTTCTCCCAAAAGCTGTCTGCATTTATCATAAAAGGGCATACAGTATTATCTCGGACTTAATGTGCATTGTTTGCAAGCCTGCATATGTATCTCCTATCATTTATATGCTGACTAATATAGCTGAATGTGACTTTCTAATTTCGAAAGGGACACTTGACAATCTCATCATATATATATATTTTAAAAATTGTATCTCTTTCAGTTGTTTGCATTGTCATATATATATTTTTTAAAAATTGTATCTCTTTCAGTTGTTTGCATCGTATTTTTTATTCTAACTTTTCAATGCAATGTACTAAGGTATGACATAATTACACGTCCATATCACGATTGCAACTTGCAAGCTTAAAATTCAGTGTTCAGTAGATTAGTAAAGTTTTTAGATAAAGAAAGAATTTCATGACAAAATCAGGATTTTCCTTGTAAGATGACAAATTCAAATTTGGGGTATGGCCATTTCAACATCGATATAAATGCATGTTCTTAGAAGCTAATTAGTTTTAATCTGATTTGTTTACAATTGATGTGTTTGTGATGTGTGATCTTGATATTTGACATTGCTTTCATACTAAGGGCTGTTTGAGCTCCATTTTTTTGTGTACAATGCATTTTGGAATGGTAGATTGATGGATAATGTGTGATTAAAAATGAAGGAAATATTTTTGGGTTGTGTGTAATATTATTTTATTGAAGAATGGGTGGTTGAAAAGAAGAGAGAGAAAAATGTATATTAAAAAAATGGGAATCAAACAAGGTCTAAATAAATGAACATTTATTTTTTCATTATTTTTGAGAAATTTTTTGTAATATCTTGTTTTTGGCCTACAGAATAGAATTCATACCTTGGTAGATCTATCAAACATCTGAGAGCCACACAGAGTTTTCAATACTGTACCTCTCTTCAATTGACTTGACCTACTCGAGTCAATTTTCTTGCACAAACTGAAATTTATGGTGCTATTTTCTATGTAGGGAATAGGTTCATTAAAAATCTACAGGATAATTTGCAGTTTATTGAAGTAACTTCCGAGTTAGAGTTGTATTTGCTATTTTCTCCGATATCATATATAAAATTTTTACTTTCTTTGTGTTATCTAGCCTAAGTTTTAATGGGATAATAACCTTTTTCTAATTGGGTCTGGCATCTATTACGTTTCCATTGCTTGAACATGAAAGATCAATGTGTGGTGTTAGTCTGAATTGCTATGTATTAGATGGTTAATGCACTAACCTGTGGCTTTCTTGCAAGTAATGTAGTTGTTTCCTCAAGTTTGCTACTTCCCTCTGCCAAAACTAGCATGGAATAAGCAAATTAGGATCAGCTGACGAAATTGGGCAAATGCATTGATAAATTTTAGGGCTGCATTCAAGTAGATAAAATAGAAACTCCAACCATATTACCATGAACAGTATACTGTTTGTAGCAGTGTCAATCATGATTTATATGTAAAAATCTTCTCAAAATTGATCATTCCACCATATCTATACTGTCAGCGAACATCTTTGAAATCCTAGTCAACTATAGATTTTATTAAATCGTTTCCATTTTTACCTGTATATTTTGTGTTCCTTTTGGAAGTTTGAATCTTCTACCTTTAATTTCCTTTGTTATATTTGAAAGAAGGCTTTAGACCTAAAGAAACAAAGCTTTTATCTAAGTTATATCTTGTCTTTAAAATCTAGAAACAAACCTCAGAAATAAGAAATAACATTCATATATGAATTTAATTCTAAAACATGAGAGAGCACTGTGATATTCTCTTGGAGTAGACATCTTATGGACATGACATTGTGCTTGATAGTATTTTGTTTGTGTGCAAATGAGAAGTTTGAAATAGGTACACATTTTTGGTTTCCATTGTGGAGTCATGTTAATCTATTTAATTTATTGGGATTTGAATGTGATGGAAGTAGGAATATTATTTGTTTTCTTAGTTTTATCTTTATTATTAGTTTTTGCAGTTATTTAGGGGCAATCATGTCCTTTGCAGGTTTAGGGTTTTCTTCCACTTTGGTTTTTCCTAGTACACTTTATATGTTGTTGTTTATGAATAAAAAATTGATAGTTTATCAATTCTTTCAGTTATTCTATATTTCCTAAAGAATCAATGAATATTTGATTTCAAATCCGCCGTATTCTAGCGAATCAACGAGTGTTTTGGGCTGCTATTCCTATTACACATAATTCTGCTACATAATTTTTGGTATATCTTGAAGGTTACGATGTCACACTAGGGAAATCATGAAACATGATGAGTTACCTTCGACACGGGAGGTTTTCGCAGAAATTCGTTGGGAAGAAAGTCGGAGAAAAGTGATGTTGAACAGTGGTAAAAACGAAGAAGAGGCGTCGGCCTTATTGGGTAACAGATCTGGGACAAAAGTCAGTGGGAGTGGGCCGAGTAATATGGGTTATTTTCCAAGTAGGGGGCCAAGTAATATAGGTTATCTTCAAAATAGTGGGCTTGTTGAAAGTTATTTCAATGGACTCAATCATAATATTGGGTGAGGAAATATGGGTTTAGTCTCAAAAGGTGGCCAAGTAATATAGGTTATCTTCAAAATAGTGGGCTTGTTGAAAGTTATTTCAATGGACTCAAATCATAATATTGGGCCAGGAAATATGGGTCTACTCTCAAAAGGTGTAATAAATGGGCCAGGTACCAAACAACAAAAAGGTCGACCCTGGTGTAAACATTGCCGTAAACCAGGACAGAGAAAATATTTGATAGGATTTACATGGAAAACCAACTGATTGGAAACCAAGGCAGAATAATAAAAATCGAGGCTACTAAGTTTCTGTTGATCATCAAACAAAAATTCCTACAACAACCCTGAGGGGTTGTTCAATTGGTCAACACTTGGGTTTGCTCCACAATGGTCACCAGTTCGAATCTCCTCAAGGCCACTGATGAGAGTACCCGCCCGTAAANAGGGCCACTGAGGTGAGTATCCGGTCGTAAACTTCAGGGCCCCGTGGAATTAGTCGAGGTGTGCGCAAGCTGGCCCGGACATCCACGGTTATCAAAAAAAAAAAAATTCCTACAACAAGCAGTGCTTTCAATCCTAAATATAGAGAGCAACTTTACAAAATTTTTTCAAATCTTCAAACCTCCGATCAATCTTCCCAAAACTGTTCTTCAAGCTCGCGAATAGGTAATTTTGTAAGAGCTTGTCAGGCTCCTACAACTTATTTTCCTCATATTCAACATGTGCGGGTAATCTTAGAGTCAAAATTGCTGATGGATCACTCTCACCGGTCGCAGGAAAAAGGAGTATTCAACTATCTGATTCCATAACTTTAGAATCCATCCTTCATGTTCCTAATTTGTCTTGTAACTTATCTATAAGCCAATTAACCAAGACCTAAAATTGCACTGCTAAATTCCTCTCTTCGCAACGTGTTTTTCAGGACCTACTATCGGGGAAGACGATTGGAAGTGCTAAGGAGTGTGAGAGGTTCTACTACTTTGACGAGGTTGGCATGAGTAAGCAACATCGGATTGCCGTTTTAGATTCTGCATCTATTTCTAGTGATAGTGAAGTCTTGTTATGGCATCTTCGAATGGGACATCTCAATCTTCAATATTTGAAGCACGTATTTCCCAATATTTTCTTGAATAAAAAGCTCGTCAATCTTCAATGTGAATTTTGTGAACTTACTAAACATCAACGAACAGCGTTCCCAAAATCTACATGTAAACCATCAAAACCATTCACTATGATTCACAGTGATGTATGAGGTCCTTCACGAATTCCAAATCGAACACACGCAAAATGGTTTGTCACATTTATTGACGAGCAAACTCGACTTTGTTGGTTATCTCTTAAAAGAAAAATCTGACGTTCGATCAGTGTTTATTAATTTCCACTATGATACAAAACTAATTTCAAACACATATTCAAATTCTGCAGACCGATAATGGCACATAATACTTTTAACAAAAATTTTGGGGGATTTCCTTCGAACTAATGGGATAATCCATCAAAGCTCGTGTTGAAACTCTCCAACAAAATGGGATTGCCGAACGAAAAAATAGACATCTTCTAGAGGTTGTTCGAGCTTTGATGTTTACAGCAAACATGCCAAAAGGGTTATGGGGAGATGCTATCTTAAGTTCTGCTTACCTAATCAACCGAATGCTGACTTGTACCTTAAACTTCGAATCCCCATAACCCTTTTGGCACTATGATACAAAACCAATTTCAAACACACATTCAAATTCTGCGGATCGATAATGACACATAATACTTTTAACAAAAATTTGGGGGAATTCCTTCGAACTAATGAGATAATCCATCAAAGCTCTTGTGTTGAAACTCCCTGACAAAATGGGATTGCCTAACGAAAAAATAGACATCTTCTAGAGGTTGCTCAAGCCTTGATGTTTATAGCAAACATGCCAAAAGGGTTCTGGGGAGATGCTATCTTAACTTCTGCTTACCTAATCAACCGAATGCTGAGTCGTACCTTAAACTTCGAATCCCCTCTCAACAAATTTCAACAATTCTTCCCAAACTCTCGGCTCAGCTCAAACCTACCCCTCAAGGTGTATGGTTGTATCGCCTTTGCCCATATTCACAACAATCACAGACAAACTAGATCCTCGAGCAGTTAAATGTGTCTTTCTCGGATACTCTCCTACTTAGAAAGGATACAGATGTTATGATCCTTCCACAAAGAAAGTCATAGTCAGTCTCGATTTCACATTCTTTGAAAATATCCCATATTTCCACAAAACCTCTCTTAATGGGGCGAATCTTAGTGAAGATCGGTACCTGAACTTAGAACTTCCTCTTGAGTCCATCTCAATACCCATCACACCTCCTACCATACCCCATAGTTCTTCTATGCCATCTACAGGAGGAGACTTGAATTCAAGTAGTGGTGCAGAAAAACAAAGTGACAAAGAAATTTTTGTTTACTCAAGGAGACCAAAAGTAAAGCAAAAGGAGAACCTCACTACCAAAACACCAAGAGAGTCGGAACTAATGGTAGGTCCATAATCCCATGATACTACGAATGTATTAGAATAATCAGACATACCCATCGCACTCATAAAACAAACCCGGTCATGTACTCTTTACCCCATCTCAAAGTTCGTATCCTATAATGCTCTATCTACAGGATTTCGCAGCTTTATATCTCATCTTGATAGTACCAAAACTCCAAAGAACGTTTAGGAAGCCTTGGAAAACCCAAAATGGAGAGAGACAGTAATGGAGGAGTTGTGATCGTTGGAAAAGAATGATACTTGGGAAGTAATGGATCTACCCAGGGGTAAAAAACCCAGTGGAATGCAAATGGGTCTTCACCTTAAAATATAAAGCTGATTCCCAGTGGAACGATATAAAGCTCGGCTGGTTGCTAAGGGATATACATAAACTTATGGCATTGACTACATAGAGACATTTGCACCTGTGGCAAAATTTAATACAGTTCGAGTACTTTTGTAATTTTCAGTGAATCTGGATTGGTCTCTCCAGCAACTATATATTAAGAATGCATTTCTAAATGGAGAATTGGAAGAAGAAATTTACATAACACTACCACCTGGTATTTGCATGGTCAATGAAAAGAATCGGGTATGTAAGCTCAAGAAGTCTTTGTATGGACTTAAGCAGTCCCCCANATCTAGCTACTTCCATTCCTAGAAAGTATCGCATTTGTCCCAAGTCTTTCACTTCAAATTCTGTGGCCAAACCTCTTTTTAGTTTTTCTATTTCGACTGTATTATCTCCGGTGAGAATAATATCATCAACATATACGATCAGAATAGTCTTTGTGCCATCTTCAAATAATCTGAAAAACATAGTGTGATCCGATTGCCCTTGTTGGTATCCCTGTTTTTTCAACACATTTGCAAATCTGTCAAACCATGCCCTCGGTGACTGTTTGAGGCCGTATAGGGACTTCTTCAGTTTGCATACTTTATTTCCTTCATTTTGCTTAGAAAAACCTGGCGGTAGCATCATGTAGACTTCTTCTTCCGACTCCCCATTCAGAAATGCATTCTTAATATCAAGTTGTTGGAGTGGCCAATCCAA